TTCTCTGCTGCCCCCTTCTTCTTTTGCCCTCAATATTCCCCAGCATTAGGCTCTTCTCCAGTGAGTCCTTCCTTCTCATTAGGTGGCCAAATTTGCTTACATGCTTTAATAGCCAGACATGCACAATTTAGATACATTACATGTATTGGTTGAATGTAAGGACATTCTTGAGGTAGGTTCTAATCTCTTACTTTTTAGATTGAAAAGTCACCTTGTATTCACGATGTGATCCTCAACTTGACTAATTAAAAAAAAGTTTTAAAAAATGTCAAAAATGGCCATTTGGCAAAGCAGAACAAACTGATACAAGAAAGAGTAAAAGAGAAAGGTTTGCTCTTCTATTTAAATCCCACAGAAGCAACTTTAAAGGAAATTAAAGACACTTGGCAGAGAATACTATCTTCCCCCACCCCTTCCCCAGGTAGCAATCTCTGGCTGCTCTTTTTAATGGTAGGTTGGCTGTACAGTACGAGCTGCCTTTGAATTCCTCAGAATAAAGGCCTGTGAGTAGAGGACTTGACTGCAGGCTCCTTATCTGACTTGTTACTTTGATGTTTTTCTAAGGTTTTTCTGCTAACTTCTTCCTGTTGGAATAAGGATGGCAAAAGATCATATTCACAGTAGGTTGATAGTTGTAATAGGGATGTTTGGAATATTTAATTGGCAGCCAGAGACTTGGCTGAAAAAAATAAAAGGGCTGCGGAGGGAAGATGCTCACTTGGACCAAAGTCATTTTCTTTCTTTTTTTAAGCTTACATCAAGGACTTTGTTTGTAAATGGCTATTTTGCACATGCTTTGGTTTATTTATTTATTTTCAGTTCCTTTATTCATAAGTCACCACAATGGACTTCAAATTCAACCTCATTTTGCTTACAACAAAATGGAAAAGGGAAAGCCTGATATGACTCTGGAGATAGCCTCCCTGTTTTCACACGTACCCTCCTGCCAATGAACCAAGGTCTGTAGTAAAAAACCCAGTCCCCTAAACACTATATGTGAGTTCTACTCTCATTGTATTGTATTCTCCAGCTCTCAGTTTTGCAATTAGAGAAGCTAGGTTTTCCCCAAGTTCTCCCTAGGGAACAGACTGCAAATAATGACAATGAGAGTGAAGCAATGGATCAGTAGATCATATTTGATCTCTGTTAGCAATAGCCTGCAGCAGCAAGGAAAGATTTTTTGATGGATAGTTGCAGCTGGTGGAGAGAAGATCCAACCAATGGAAAATGTCTTTTTAGTAGCATTGTTGTAATTAACTTCTTCCTCCCTCCCTCCCTCCTTCTCTCTCCCTCTCCCTCCCTCCCTCCCCCTCCCCCCTCTCTCTCCTTGTTCTTTGGTCAGATCTTTTATTTCCTTTCCTAACAATGACTGGCCTCTTTTTCTATTTTCCAGCTGCATCAGATTCTCTTATTGCACAGGTTCAAGATAAGTTGTAGCTCAGAGAAACTTTCTCACTGCTTTGCAAACTTTTAGCAATCTTCTTCCCCGGGGAGGGGAGGAGAGAGATTTCTCTTGCTCTCTTTTACATTCGAGAGGCTTGAGCATTTATGTCACATTTCTCCCTGCAAAGTTGCTGAGCTGAATTTTTTGGGTGGAGATGGCAGTAGTTCCTGCTGCGTTGCTTGCTTTGTTTTATGCATCTCTCCATCACTCTGAAGCTTCACTGGCTGCCTATTCTTCCCAGTTGGAAAAAGACAGAGCGTCAGCAGAATTGACTACAAAACAAAAGGAAGAAGACATTCATACATGCGAAAAGTAATAAAGTTCACAACACAGCCGCATTGCAGCAAAATACACTGGTATCCACATACAAATTCTTTTTTTCCCCAATATTCACTCTTCCTGCTGGGGCACATCTCATTATTAAAACCATAATCCACTCTAAGGGTCATGACTTTAACAAGGCAAGAATACTATACTTCACCCATAAGGATTTCACAGCTGTTGCTTCATTTCGAAAGGAAAGTTGGAAGACTTTCATCAAAGTGAACAAGAACAGTAGAAAAGATGAAGATGAACCTTTCTGCACAACAGAATCTCATACCTGTGTAGTACATCAGCAAGGGGTATCACACTTTGGGGGCACTTTTGTGCAAAACGTTTGCCAGACCAATTCTTGACTATAGCTCATCTCCTGGAATCCACACTGTGTTTCAGACATTAATACAATTGAGCGAGTCCAGAGGTATTTCACGAGAAGAGTCTTCCACTCCTCTGCTCACAGTAGAATCCTTTATGCCACCAGGCTTGAAATGTTGGGATTGGATAACCTTGAACTACATTGACTAAGGTCTGAGATCAGCGTAGTACACAAAATTGTCTGCTACAACATCCTACTTGTCAACAACTACTTTAGCTTCAACTGCAATAAAACACTAATGGGAAACAATAGATTCAAATTCATGGTTCCAAACTCGATTGCAGAAAATATGAGTGGTAAACACCTGGAATGCACTATATGACTCTGTTGTTACATCCTCAAACCCAGTGGTAGGATTCAGTTACCTTCACTACCGGTTTGCAAATGTGAGTGCTCTTTTACTTACTTGCTTTCTTTGCTCACATATGCCACCTTCTGTGCACGTGCACTGCTTTCTGCACATATGCAGAAGGTCACACATTATGTTGGGGTGGGTGAGTGGAGCCGCCAGCAGCCGCCACTACTAGTTTACCCATACCAGTAAGAACCAGCTGAACAGCACTGCTGCTCAAACACCCGTAATTTTAACCTTAAACTGCCTAGCATGGACCTTACCCCTTTCCTAAGCGGTCTGTAAAGGGGGCGTGCATAACCGCACCATCATGTCTACCATCCCTGTCCTACTGTCCCCATTTATTCATACCCATTTTCTGTTGTTCATGTCCATGTTTATACTTATACCTGTTATCTTGTACATGTTTGACAAACTAACTAACTGACTAAATGAATATATATAAATGAATGAATGAATGAATGAATGAATGAATGAATGAATGAATGAATGAATGAATG